GAGGGAGAGAATACAAATAACACGAATAAGAAACGAAATGGGTGACATCACAACAGAACCAACTGAAATAAAAAGGATAGTATCAGGATACTATGAAGATCTGTACTCCAACAAATTTGAAAATCTGGAAGAAATGGTGAGATTTCTAGAAACACACCACTTACCTAAACTAACACAGACTGAAGTGGAAAAGTTTAACAAATCCATAACAAAAGAAGAAATTGAACAGATCATCAAAAAATTACCAACAAAATAAGTCCTGGCTCAGATGGTTTCACTGGAGAATTCTAGAATATAAAATAGTTCTGGAGATACAATCTTCTTTGAAATTTTCAACATGAAGGAAGTAGCAAGAAGCCAACTGTGAGCTTACTTCAAAGAATCTAATTTTCATCTCTAGAGAGCAGCAACCCCCTGCTATAGCTCAGTGAAATTTACAACAATGATGATGAAATGTGCAAGCTAAAATCCATACAGGGACTATGAGTCAAAATCAAGGGAAGTGAGGGATGTAATCTGGAAGAACCTCAATACAAACTATGGTTTACTTTCTGTTCATGTCAACATGCCATATTACTACTACAGAAGTGATAAGCAGATAGAAACTGAAGAAGCTGTGAGAGAAGACAAAGAGAAACGGAGATTGTAGAGCCCACCAATAGTTTCAAAAGAGGTTGCAAGAGAGCAGTACCATAATCCTAAATAGGCTGTGCTAGCACATAAAGGATGCAATGAGCTTTAGAAAACAAGATGCCATTAATCCAGCAATGTGCTCTGGAAGGATTTTTTCCTATGGGAGACAGATACATCAATAACAAGGTGTTAATAGTCTATGAAAATGATAGTGATTTTGGAACAAAATAACAATAGTAAAAAGGCCTCTGATAGAAGCAGCAAATTGTAAATCAGAGTGGATATCATCTTGAAATATATCTTAAAGAAAATCCTAAGTGTTCATTAAACTCATGTTTTATCCTATGTTCTATGAAGCAGAACATCCTATGTTCTCTCTATAAAAACTGACTAAAAAACCACATTAAATCATCAATCAGTACTACTGAAGATGTTTTCATTCTGCTGCTAAATTGAGCTATTTATTAAGTCATTCTTGTTAGCTACTATCTGCAAAATATTTTAATAATTTTAAATAGTGGTCCCACAATTTGTGTAAATTTGTTTCTCAGTTACATGCTTTCACTGGTGAGTTTACCCAATTCTTAACCAAGAAAAGATACTGACTTTGGTCTCTTCCTGTCTAGAACAAAGAAGAGTAAAGAAAAATCAAAGACTCAAGGAAACAATTAGTCCAAAGGACTAAAGGACCTTGTGAATCACACCCTCCACAAGCCTGAGACCAGAAGAACCAGATGGTTCCAGGCTCTGACTGGGATCACAGTAGAAGGTCCTAGACAGATTGAGAGAAAAATGTAGAACAAATTCAAAATCATAAAAAAAAAAAAAGACCAGACTTACTGGTTTGATAGAGACTGGTTGAACCTGTAAGACTATGGCCCTTAGATACCCTTCAAACCACTCCCAGACATCACCTTTCAACCACACAACAGACAGGCCTATAAGTGAACAATAATACCCATGAGGAACTTGCCCCTCAGAGCAATCAACCTTACGAGATCAAAAGGGCAGCATTTGCCAAAAAAAAAACAAAGTTCAAAAGGCAGTAAGGGGCAGGGAAGAAGGATAGATGCAAATGGGGAACCTAGGGAGAAATCAGAAAGAGCACTATTACACTGAGGGGATTTCATCTAATGTCACAAGACAAAATGTGTATTAATCGTTGAATGGAAAACTAATTTGCTCTGTAAACTTGCACCCAAATCACAATAAAATGTTCAAAAAAAAAGAGGAAGAAAAATAACAGACTGCTGATCTTGGCTGACATGTTATTATTGTCTCTCTGTCTGCAAAGGAGCTCTGGCAGCTTAGTGCCTAAGGCATTTGACTGCTAATCAGAAGGCTGGCAGTTCAAACCCACCAGCCACTCCTCGGAAGGAAGGTTGGGCAATGTACTTCTGTACTGATACCGCCTCAGAAACCCAAGGAGGGGTCGCTATGAGTTGGATCCGACTAGACAACAGTGCATTGCATTGTTGTTTGTCTGAGACAGTGAGGGAGAGAGTACAAGTGAGCAAGTGAACGATAAAGAGAGAGAGAGTACAAGCATGATGGTAAGTTCACTCCAGGCACAGCTGCAGGAGATAGAAGAAATACCAGAAAAGCTCAACAGAATTCAAGGACCTAGAAAGATAATGCTAAAAGGACTGGCTTAGTAAATAAACATCGCATATCGACCAGACAACAAACACCTGGCTAGCCCATCATTTATTCAGGTCACACGCAGATAAACAAGTCAGGTGACTCAAATGTCACTATTTCTCTGCTTCATCCATTTATAAGTGGTCATGACTTTTGGGGGAGCAGAAGCCACAAAGCTAAATCACACAAATTCCTACCTAAAGGACTTTGAAACAGACTGGACAAAGGGAAAGATGCTTACTTGAGTGTTATAGGAGAAGACGATCTTTTAGAAAGGCCTCCTGGAAAGTCACATCTTCTCAGAGGGGAGCCCAGGCCCATGGCAGTCATAGAAGGTAGTGTTCGAGACTCCCTCTTTGACTTCTCCACCTGTAAGGGAATACAGAACAGGGTAGCCAAGGCTTCTAACAGGTACCACTTTTACAATGCCTAGAAAGATCCCTAATGGAATAGATGTACATCTTTCTGAGGATCTATACAAAGCTACATTGCTTCACATAGTGGGAATCTTTCAGGGAAACACCATGAGGTCAGCACTTTTAGGTCATCCAGTGAAAAATATAGTAATTTCACTCTCCAAACATAAACATTTCCTCCTTCTTTTTATCTTGCGAAGATCTAATGACAGAACCATATTATGGTTCTGGACATATAAAAACTGGAAAAAGCACAAAGGTATACAATCAGTGCAAAAATACTCTTAAGAGAATGAAAATGCTGTGGTTGTAACATCCAAGACAGTGAGCTTTGGCCCTAAGCAGTACATATGGCATAATGGGTCATGCAACTACTTCTTCCAATGCCACCCATCCCCCTAAGTCTTCTCATCACCTCCATCCTCAAAAGTCAGAAGGAATGGACACAAGTGTCTAGCACACAGTAGGTGCTACACAAAGGTCAGACCCCATCTCTCCCTAGCTTACTTTTCTACAGCAAATCCTCATTTGACCCCCATACCCACATACATCAGCCCCTTTCCACAGTGATCTACCCTACAGTAAAACCCAAGAGTCTGAAGCCATCACTGTTAATTTGAGAACCTCAGGGCCACACTGGGTTTAAAATAATATTGTAAAATGCCCAACAGTACAATTATGTCGTGGTTTTAAAATAGGTCTTGAATCCTTTGATACTCTTCCCTTCAACAGGTGGGGCTTAATTCCCTCCTCAAGTGTGGGTTGGTCTTCAGGACTTGCTTTTAACAAATAGCATATGGTAGAAGTGATGGTCTGTAACTTTTGAGATTAGGTCATAAAAGATGTTGCAGCTTCCTCTCTGCTCTCTCTTTGTTGGGCCACTTGCTCTGGGAGAGAAGCCAGCCACTATATCAGCTGGAAACCTAAGTAGTCCTATGGAGAATCCCATGTGGCAAGGAATCGAGGGGTCCTGCTAACAGCCATGTGAGTGATCCACCTTGGAAGAGTCCCCGTCAAACTTTCAGATGATGACAGCCCCAGTGGGCATCATGTCTACACCCTCATGAGAGATCCTATACCAGAACCACCCAGCTAAGTCAATGTCAATTTCTGACCCAAAGAATCTGTAAGATAATAAACATTTGTTGTTTTAAGCTGCTACAGTTTGGGCAATTTGTTATGCAGCAATTGATAACTAACAAAAGTAGTATAATATGCATAACTTGAAAATAAATACACATAAATTGGGGGTACCTGCTCAGCATTTGTTTTACTGATGGTGGTAATTATGCCACCAAAAAAGTTTAGAGGCCACTGCTGCAGATGAAGATTGACTAAGAACCTTAGTTCCAGTTACTCATATAGGCAAGATTGGCACAGAATCAGGCATTCTTAAAGAAGCAGAGAGGACACCTGGGCTAGTCTTTCTGACTCCTATCCTCTGGAGGCCAGGCTATAACAAAGACAAGGTCTTTAAGAACTTGCTCCATGGCACTAAAATTTAGAAGAGTGCAAAAACACAAATGATTTTCAAAGGTTGGGTAAATCTTTAAACCAAATAGGTCCTTTGAGCAGTCTCTGGAGATTGATGAAAACACAACCCCAAGTCAAGAACAGAAAGGAATCACACCATCAGATAAACCACAGTCAGAAGGGGTGAAAGTGAGTGAGTCTGAAACATACCAGAGGGGCCTCAGCTTCTGCAAGGGCTCCTTTCCCCGAATCTCCTGTGCCAGATGTAGATACGACCTTCTTCCTCTCGACATTTCGAGTGGGCGAAGACTTGTAGGAAGCTTTGAGAGGGCCAGCAGGAGCTACATGAGGACAGGCATAAAATACTAGAGACTTACAGTATAATAGCCAGAGAAACAGGGAGCACGGAAAGAGCAGAGGGAGTTAGTTGGGAAGAATATCCCATTTCTGTTAAAATGTGCCACAGACAATCCATATTCTCAAAATCTCACCTATCCTAAAAAGGCTCACATACTCTATGTTCAAGAGTCAAGTTCATCTCAGGGGTTAAAGCCCAGGTTTTGGAGCCAGATCCACCTAGCACTGCCATCTAACAGCTGCATCACCTTGGGCAGGTTACCTAACCTTCTTATACTTCAATTTCCTTGTGCTGAAAAGTTAACAAAGCATTTCTGGCTGCTTTCCTTTGGAAGGCCTATTTATAAGGCTGGCCCTTTGCTGGTGTTTGAGAATTTAGATTTCAGGAGGCTTCCCACCATGAACTGACAAGAGTGGCTCACTGTACCTAAACTGTGTAAACAATGTGGTTTATAGTGAACACCTGCTTTCCTTCTAGGGGGTCTGGAATTTGGGGGTGTTTCAGGCAGAGATATCTACATGATTAGCCACCAAAAAAAAACCTGGATACCGAGTCTCTAATGAGCTTTCCTGGTAGACACTTCACAAGTGCTGTCACAACTCTTTGCTGGAAGAATTAAGCAGGTCTGTGTGACTCCACTGAGAGGACTCTTGGGAGCTTGCCCCTGGTATCCTCTAGGCTTTGCTCCATGTACCTTTTCTCTTTGCTGATTTTGCTTTGTATTCTTTTACTGTAACACATCATAGCTGTAAGTACAACTACATATTGAGTACTATGAGTTCTCCTAGCAAACTACTAAATCTGGAAGTGGTATCAGGGACCACCAATACACTTGGTGTCAGAAGTGGGAATCACTAGAACAACCCTGACTCACTGAAATAGGGTAAAAGCACTGTTTGGAAAAAGGAAGGATGAAGAGACAGCTGATGATGAGCCATCACCTGTAGGTATGAGGCAGCAGTGTAAAAGTAAAAGTAACTCATGAAATTTGAAAATGATAGTTCCATCTCCAGGAAAGTTGGCTTGCTGGATCCTATAACTGCTTTGGGCTGTGGCAGGGAGGTGTGTGCAGCCTGGTGATGCCCTTGGTTTTCATTTTCTCCTCCCAGTGGGAGTGGTACTCAAGTTCCCTGCTTTTGGGCACCAGTGGGTAGGTTGGAATTTAAACTCTAAGTACTGGAAACAGAACATGTCTCTGTAACTGATTATTTTTACTATAATTTTTGCCTGTTGGAGCCTCTGGAAAAAGGGAAACATGAAGGGAGAAGCAGAGGAAATCACCAGATGGAGACAGATTTTTGGAGTTTTAAAAAGCAATTTTTAGTTGCTAATATAATTTCAGCTTTGGTAACATAGTGCCTAAGGCACTTGACTGCTAACCAGAAGGCTGAAGGTTCAAACCCACTAGCCACTCCTCAGAAGAAAGGTTAGGCAATCTACTTCCATAGTGATACCACCTCGGAAACCCAAGGAGGGGTCGCCATGAGTCTGGTCTGACTTGAGGGCACATAACAACAATATAATTTCATCTCCTGTGAAATAAAATATCTAACCCTTAGAGACTGATAATTTTCTGGTCTGGTACATATATGAGTGGGTCAACTTTGGAAAGTTTGCCTGCCACTTATCTTGCCACACAGCTGTCTGGTTCTGCAATGTCTTGGTTTTGCTGCTACTGAAGAAAAGCTATGGGCTTGTTTGGACTCCTAAATTCACAGAATCTAACTGCTTGGGCCTGCATTGGGCAAATCTGCTGCAAAAGACCTCTTTAAAGTGTTAAAAAGCAAAGATGGCACCTTGAGGACTAAAGTGTTGCCTGACCCAAGCCATGGTATTTTCAATTGCCTCCTATGCATGAGAAATCTGGACAATGAATAAGGAAGACCAAAGAGGAACTGATGCTTTTGAATTATGGTGCTGGTGAAGAATATTGAATATACCATGGACTTCCAGATGAATGAACAAGTCTGTCTTGAAAGAAGTACAGCCAGAATGCTCCTGAGAATTGAGGATGGCAAGACTTTGTCTCATGTACTTTGGACATGTTACCAGGAGTGACCAGTCCCTGGAGAAGAATATCATGCTTGGTAAAGTAGAGGCTCAGTGAAAAAGATCTTCAATGAGACAGACTAACACAGTGGTTGCAACAATGGGCTCAAATACAGTAACAATTGTGAGAATGGCACAGGACTGGGCAGTGTTTTGTTCTGTTTTGCGTAGGGCTGCTATGAGTCGGAACTGACTTGATGGCATCTAGAAGCAGTAGCAGCGGCAATTGCTTGGAATTGACTCTAAAGTGACTACTATGAACTGTTTCAGCCGCAGAGTGAACTGTGTGGAGCTGAATGCAGGCACAGGTTCACTGAACAGGACTTTGATTGGGAGACCACTGCAGATACAGGAAATCTTGTAACGGAATGCTACAGTCTTCATTATCAAAATGGAGATATTTCCTACTTCCTAGAGTTGTTTAATTTTTTATAGATACAATTTATACACCATAAAATTCACCCTTTTAAAGTATACAATTCAGTGGTTTTTAGTATATTCACAGGTTGTGCAACTTACCACAGTCTAATTACAGAACATTTCCAACACCCCAAAAGAAACTATACCCATTAGCAGTCACTCCCCATTTCCCTCTCCCCTAGTCCCTGGAAATCAATATTCTTCTTTTGGTGTGTGGATTTGCCTATTCTGAATATTTCATATAATATTGTGGTTGCTGTTGTTGTTAGGTGCCATCGAGTCGTCTCCAACTCAGTGACCCTACGCACACCAGAATGAAACACCACCCAGTCCCATACCAGCTCCATGATTCTTGCTATACTTGAGCCCATCGCCGCTGCCACTGTGTCAGTCTATCTCGTTGAGGGCCTTCCCCTCTTTCATTGACCCTCCACCTTACCAAGCATGACATCCTTCTCCAGGGAATGGTCCCTTCTGACAACAT